CCTCACTAGATTGTTTCTTTCACCTTTGACCTTTCTTCACATGTTTCTGTCGCCTCTTACCGCTCTCTGGCCTTGCTTACCTTTTACTCTCTTTCTACTTCCCAACAATCCATCCACTCTCTCACAATCACACATGGACCCACCTACACACACACAACCATGCAAAGCTGGAGTCACTGTCGGCCCCCGTGGCCCGGCGCTGCTAAGATAAAACGGCCTTGGGAGCCCTGCACCTCCGTCCAACCATGACGTGTTTCAGATTGTCTCCTAAATCTCCTCTGACAGATGGATAGATGTACTACTGCAGCTGTGTGAGTATGAAATAGACCCCTTAAGGAGTATAAGGAAAAGATCAGGTCTGTGAGGGACGAACATAAGTCGACTGCCGAAGAGGACTTCTAATCATGTGCCTTAAAGAACTAGATTTTATAAATCAGCTTTTATTGCAGGAGAAGCTTACAGGTTTTAAGTGGTTGTTCTGGTAAGAAAATAGTCCTTAATATAAAAGGATATTGCATCCACGCAATACATACAAATGTAAAGTAATAGTTTGACATTCTGGGAAATATGCTTGTTTGCCTTCTTGCTGAAAATTAAATGAGAAGATCGATTCCACTGTCGTGTCCATTAAATATGAAGCTACTGCAGCAACCGGTTAGGTAAGACCTGGGTTTACACTTTGCACAGAAAAAATAATAAATATATTATAAAATGTAAGTATATTAGGTAGCATATACGAGCTTTGGCATATTAATATTATATTTGGGTAAGAATTGTGTATTTTTCTTTCAATGGCTGTGTTTCACAAGACTGATACTAAAATAATATTTAACTTCATACCTCTTTTGCTCTCTGAGTTACAAAACTAAATATTCAAAACTACAAGGAAAACATTAATAACTAAGGAAATCATGATTGTATCATAAAAACTACTATTTGTGATTCAAAAGTGCTCAAATTTCAAACCAATTCTGCAGATTTGAAAGATTTAGAGATGTTTGTATATCTTTGATCCACAAATCCGAACCTTAAAGTGACAATCAAGTTCAAAGAAGCAGTCAGTATGTAGTCTATCAGAATGTGCACTGTATTCACACAGGATTACACCCCAGATGGAAAGGCGCTCTGCTCTGTGCTATCAAGTCATTTTGCTATGGGTTATCGTCTCATCTGGCCGGCACAATACATGAACACAGAAACAGACACACACACACACACACACACACACACACACACACACACAAAATACAGAGCAGCGTGTCAACCAGCCGCTGCTCAGATTAAAACATCTGAAAACGTCTGAAAATATCTGAAGCAGCTCTATCGCTCTCTCTATCAAAGCCACTCAACCTCTCCCTCAGTCTTTTGTGTTTGTTTTATATTGGTTCATGACAAGACTCACTCTCTCTCTCTCTCTCTCTCTCTCTCTCTCTCTCTCTCTCTCTCTCTCTCTCGTAACCCTGTCTTGCTCTCATACACACATTCTTTATCCAACTCTGGCTTTCATTGTTTTAATTTCTCTTTGCCTGCAGCTCTCTGCTTCTCTCATGTTTCCATTTCTTTCCATGCTTGGAAATGTCTGGAATTAGTCAAAGGAGATTTGTATATTAAGAGGTGGTTATCTTAAGAGAGGCCAGCTTCGTTTGAGACATATACTTTATTTAAAAGAACTACTACACTGTGGGAGCTCATCTGGATCCTGAGAATATTAAATCTAAAGTCCGAGTTGGCAGCTTTACTTTGAGATGCAAAGCCATGAGTGTGAACCTTTTCAAGTGGGAGACTAAAGCATGTCAGAAAAGGTCTGTTACATAATTGAGGATCCTTTCCAACACACTGTACAGGGTTATGTGAGTTATCAGGGCTGTTGTTGTACACTACTCCACACCTTCAGGCATACGTCTTCAGATTAAAGAGAAGAAATCACAATGATGAGCTTGCTTTTTTCACATGCGGATATGTGGTTTTTGGACAATGCTATCTACACACTGTGAGCTAGCAGTTGCTGTTAGCTTCTACAGTTCAACTGCAAATCGTGTAAGACTAAAATAGACAAAGCATCTGTGTCTGCTGTGAGACAAAAACTGTACTTCTGAGGTCTTCAGGTACCCCAGTCAGTCAATACAAATGGAAAGGAAGAGAGTTTTTTTCCCCCTATGCACTCGCAGAGTAAAAACTGGAATGCAAAAGAGCCACCAGACAAGCTGCATTTTAAGTGAGGGATGAACTCTTTCATTGAGTGTTTTTAAATACTCAATTAACCAGGGAAACTTTGCTGAGAGCAATGCTGTTTCTTTTAGGAACGTCCTGTTCTGGCTCAGCTACACACATTCACACCTGGAAGCGGTCCAAAACAACCACAGGTATTGTTCAGTGACAATTCCAATAAAGTTTATTGAAACCAGATGGCTCAATTCTCAACAGTGTTGACTAGAAAGAGAATAAGATAGATAGATAGATAGATAGATAGATAGATAGATAGATAGATAGATAGATAGATAGATAGATAGATACTTTATTGTCCTTCACAGGAAATTTGTCACCACAGTCTGTACATAGCTTTCAGACATACATACATAGATACGAGATACATATGGACACCACGACATAACAACAAGAATAAACACTTAATGCAGCACATTTAGCACATTTACCCCTCCCTGTCCTGTGCGTAGCACTCACTCACGGCGGTTACCGGGATGCCTTGTTTAGAGATGCTATGGCAGAAGGTACAGGTAGGTATAGCGAGGACGTTTACAGGCCATGGTCCTGTATCTGCATCGAGATGGTAGCAGTATGAATAATGAGTTGAGGGGGTGGCTGGGCCAATGATTTTGGAGGCATGGTGTGTAATGCGTGTCAGTATGTTCCTATTTGAGGCAGTGAACATGTTGTAGAAGCAGGTTTAACAGTAGAGGATGACAGGTTGGACTATACTTTTATAGAATAATAACAGAAGTTGGGGGGCAACAGAAAGTGCATTGAGTTTGCGGATGGCAGAGAGTCTTTGTTGGCAGCGTTTGTGGATGTCACTGAGTGGGACTAATGATAAAGTTTGTTTTTTACAGTGAGTGAAGTTTATTATATTCCAGGCTTCAATGATGATGTATCTTTAGTTGAGTAGATCACCCTCATGCATCAATATTAGTCTAATTTGATGCATTATCGATTATGATAAAGATACAGAAAGACGGGAATGCATGCTTATTGTCAATATTTTAGTGACCCCCCAAAATTTCACAAATCGTCTTTTCAGGGGAGCTCATATGTTATTAAGAGGAGCTGAGCTCGCTCTGGCTTCCCTGTAGTTCGCACCCTGAGTGCAGGATAATCTTTGGCTGATCAAACAACGCCTCAATATCCTTAAAGATCCTTAAAGAGGATAATTCCTTTACAATCAAATCTGTTCTGTCTGCACTGTATCACATCATTAAGGTTTTTAACCTTTAGGGCTTTTGGTTCAATAGAATTTGTAAGTGATTCAAATTCAGACAAAAAACCGTATGTGCTACATAAGGATGCTGCAACTTTTTTATGTTTTGAAATGATGAGTTGTTTTTGCAGATATTGATGTACAGGTTGTATAGGATTTTCTTTGTTTTTTTTCCCTCTGAGTTCAAGTCTGCTGTGTTGTTTTCTACTTTGAAACATTTGGTTCTTGTAAGTACTTGTTCAATAAACTGGATTTAGAAAGATATTCCATACTGGCTGTAAAAAAAAAAAACAGCAGGTCAATACTTTGATGCTCTGTATTCTTCAAAATTACCTCTTAGTGATAGACAGCTACGGCATTACTTTAGGTTCTAGTTGACTCTGCAGACATTTATGTTCTGTTTCAGAATGTGCACTTTTGCTGTAAAACTGCTCCAGCTTTGGGTTGATTTGGTTGAAGCAAGTTTTGACGACAAAAACTTAACAAAGACTCTTTTATTCCCACTGCATTTAAAACAAGGCCAAATAGACAGCTGCTACTTTTTAATGCAGCTTTGCACACCTGCTCTTATTTCTATATTTATGGAAATGCTTGTGTTTTAATGCAATTATATGTGAGTCTGAGTATGTTTTGATGTTGTTTGTGAGCCCCTAACCTAAGACAATTTCTATCATTATGTGACACAAACAATAAAGTTTTTTTAATCTTGAATCTATACACCAAAACCAGAGTGAGAAAATAAGATCACAACAGTGACGGAAATAAAACTGTGAAATTCCCTTTTGGTTTGATTCAAAAACACAAACACAGTAAGTAGGACAGAGAGAGCATAACATGTAAATCAACTAGCTGGGACAGACCAGAGGGTGTTTACATCTGAAGTAAATACACCTTGATCTAAATCAAGAATATGTTCTTTATGTTTTATACTGGAAATATTCTATTGGACTTATATTACACAGAACATCTCCTCTTTCATCCATCGCTGACTATGGAGGAGGATTTTTAAAGTTTTCTCACTTTTCACGTATTTTAAAGACTTTTTGGGGAGGATCACCTTGTCTTGGAGGGCCGTGTGCTTTGGCAGTTGGTGAATCCCATGTTTGGGGAATGTAAATAAACTTTTATTTTTAGATAATGGAGTTCATCATCCCTGTTTTATAGTGGTGCCTGAAGAATAAACACTCATACACACACATATAATCCAGGATATTCAGATTCACAAACTCATAAGCTGCGTGCAAAATGTCCATTTATGGTTTCGGCTTTTCGTTGAGCCTCTGCTGAGTTCCTGTCTGTCAGTGATCAGGTTGTTATACAAATAAAATGACTTACATTGACTTGACTTTATGTTCTTAATATTTGTAGAGAGAAATACTTAATTCTGTAAGGTTTTAGAATTAATGTTTGACACACATCTATAGACCTCATCCGTGATATGTTTTTAAGGCTAATTAAACCGATTTTCTTTGTCGCTCAGTGTACATTAACTTTCGAGCCCCTGCAGATAAACACGTAGTCTTCTTCATAAAATGGAACGGTTTGAATGTAACTCAAGACAACTCACCAAGAAAAGCTGAAGGCGATACTGTGCCGTTGCTGCGAGAAACCATGACGCTGATGCCAGTCTCCACGAATGGAACGGAAAACTCTACGACCTCCGACCTCTCTTCGTTAATGGTGAGAGAACCGATGGCCATGTCAGCCCTGTTGGATACCACCTAGAAAACAGGATGCCTGACATTAGAATGATTTTGTGTGACAATAAATTAAAAGACTAAAAGGATATTTTTACCAAATATGGCAATATTTAAACTAGATCTCATCAGTCCTGCACCAACTCTGTATTACTGTTTTTATTGAACAATATAAGATTTGTGCACTCTACGCTATCCTACAAAGCACCACCTTAAGACTGCGCTGTACACAGAAGTGCAAAGCCTTCTATGAGGAAAAAAAAGAGTATTTGAAAAGAGAAATCCAAAGCACTCTTCCTCAGTGATGTTGATGAAAAAAAATACTTCATACGCTTTGTCAATGAACTGGATGTAAATTCTAGTGTGTTTCCATTTTCTTTTCTCTTGGCATGCGGTGTGAAACTGGGCTGTGTTCCTCCTCAGAGGTCTTCTGACAGCTGTAAATGAGGCTCAGGTGGTCAGAAGGTGAGGAAGTGAGGGGATTCACAGCTCTGCCGTGTTTTACCTGGCATGAAACAGAGGTTACTTGACTGCAGCTGAGGGACCGCAGAGGTTAGAGAAACTGGCTACTGACCAAAAGTTCATTAGTCTGAGTCCTGGCCTGCCCCCAAAAGTCTGTGAAGACAAAAGGCTCCGCGGTCCCTCACCAGACACCACTGAGACGCCTTTCAGAAGGCTCTTAAAGTCCCAGTCCTTTAAGTCCTCTTTCTCTGTTGACATCTTAAGTGTTCAGCTCTCATTGAGTCATTGTTGTGTTGATGGACTGCACTTCCCAGTTATCATCTGTCAATCAAAGAGTAGTGGCAGTGTGATGATGTCTTTATCCCTATCTTTTTCTGTTGATGCAATTTGGGATTCTGCTGCTGCCACTTTTGTCTTTGTTCAGCTTTGCTGCTCTGCTGGAGAGCCAAAATGAAACTAGTAGAGCCACTCAAGCTAGTTCAGATGTCTGTGATATGGCTGTAGTGATAAGTGGACATAGAGAGACAAAATGTAAACGTTCTCAGACAGCAGAAATTATAAATAAAAAGTCGGAAAAATTACAGAAATTCAGATCTTCCCAATTATTTGTTAATTATTTGTTCCCAATAAATTGTTAATGTTGACAGAAACATAAAACATCTCTCTGCTCAACAAGGAATTCTTCCTGAGTACAACCAACTAGACTGTTTTTTTTTTTTCCACCGGGCACGGCTTTATAACATTGCGTCTGCGACTTGGTTTGGCTCTGATCTGTCTGTCTTCAAATCCCACCGCGAGTCTTTCAGAAGCAAAGCGTCTTCAGAGCGTGTTGCCTGTCTGGCGTTGTTTACTTGTATTTTGTCCTTAAAAAGGAGTGTTTCGCCACTTTAAATCTCCTCTTTCCTGCCTCTGACTGATTAACCTCTGGCATGGTGCCGGAGTCTCCACGTGGCATTTTATGTTCAAACTTGACTTGATTCTCTATGCTGTTTCTGTGTTGGATTTCCTGCCAGTGCTGCTCTCAAAGTCAAAGTCAATCTTTGTAAATAACTGACCTATGAACCGCTACCACAACTTAGTGTCATCTGAAAATGACGGCTATGTCACCGATTACTGACTGGTAGGACAAAAACAAAAATATTGCCCCTTCCAACAAAAAAAGTTCAATGAATTAAATAAAATGTTGATTCAGTCTGACTAACCCTAACCAAATAAGATCTTCATAATTGTGAATATTTAGTCACCATTTTTGGCGAAGTATTTTAGCTTAGCGTGAAGTTAATAAAGCTTGATTGATGATTTATTCGAAAACACTCTTGTTTGGCACATTCCCATGCCGGTGGAAATCTCTGAAATCTGTTTCGATAGTTTGTTGCTGAAAATTGTTGCAATTACAGGCAATGTTGTTGGAAACTGTAACCCAGAAAACTATGAGCAAGCATGTAAAAACAAATAAAGACCAATTTGGTTTTGTCTTACATTTAAAGTTTGCTTTTTGGAAGCTGATGTTTTAGATCTCAGGACTTTGCATCAAGCTGGAGAGTTTTTCTAATCAATTCATACAATTCTAGTGCATTTCCATTAAATGACATCATAACGTAATTATATCATATAATTAAATATATGTTCGCTGTGATGGATTACCTATATCAAGCAAGTTTCAGTTCTTTGCATATTGTATCATTATTCATATCACAATTCATTATAATACTACAGCATAATACAATCATGAAATTAATGGGAATTAATGGCTGGCTGAAAGGCAGGAGGAAGGAGAGTGTTTGTGAAAGAAAATGTGCTGCTGAAACAACGTGTCTACAGCCAACCTTCTCTGGATAGTGCAGGAAGAAACTTTTAACGTTTACTTTGTAAAATCAATAGTTTGTCTTTGAAGCCTTGAGAGACACTTTAAAGTACAAAGTCGTTCGAAGACTGTGATGACGCACAAGTTTTACACTTTTGATACCGTGTGATTAGCTGCTTTTCTGCCTGTCAAAATCAATCAGTCTGTGGTAATTATTCCATTTAAATCAACTAGGTCATTTGAAATACTTGAATACAGTCTGAAAGCAACACCTGTGACACTCCTGTTCAGGAAGTGCTTTACCACTCAAGAGTTTATAGTGCGAACAAAAAATATTATACCGGAATAGCTTAGGATGAGAAAATGTTAAGGACGTCAGAAATTACTGTCTTATTGAGAGGCATTTATGTAAGGAAGGACAAAGAGCGAAAGACTCAATGGCATTCTGAGAAATAGCAGAAATGATTGTCCAAGTGTAGGCTTTCATTGGAGGGACAAGGACACAAGATGAGCCCATGAGCCTTGGTGAAATGTTACTTTGTCAGGATGAGAGAGGAGTTTAGTTGATAGAAAATAACACAATAGAAGTTAAGAGAAAAAGAGGACTCCGATCAAGGGTCCTTTTGTGTATTCGCAATAAAAATGTTAGGTAACAGGAAACAACCAAGGACAGGAGGATGTGAGATGTGAGATGTGAGACGGTTCTCATACAGAATCAGCTGTCCCTGTGCACACACGTTTGTCTGCCGCCAACTTAATGAGTTACTGACAGATGCTGCGCAGGAGTCAGCTGAGGACAGACAGAGAGACCACCTGCACCCACAACGACATCCGGACTGTGACCAAATAGTGATATGTCAGTGTTCGGTTGATTTTAACACACATGTGCATGCTCACACACTCCCACACACATATCCCATACTGTGTGTGACCCTGTGAAACACTAACCCTCAAGCTGGTTTTATACTTCTAGCATTCAGAGGATACATGCTTAGAGTTTGCTAATACAGCGTACGCTATGCTGAAGTTACATCAGGTAAGTAACAGAAGTACATGAAATGTAACTTATGTAACGCAAACAATGTGCAGACTTTCTTACTCTTCATACTATGTCACCTGATTTTAATGGCGGGGGTGTCCAGGAATGACGTTAGAGGGGTACCTACGGTGTCATACTTTGAAGTAGGGGAACACTGACCAAGCTGCAGTATTTGACGACTTGGGAGCGAGACTGGGTTGCTATGCTTTAGCTAGTTTGTACGCCAAAATCCAACTATATGCTGGGGTTACAGTAACTAAGGAGAACTGTGGAGACCTCAACAAATGACCATGTCAAACTTGTTTGATCTTGCAATGCCATTCATGGGGAATTTTAAACTTTTGAAGAAGTGAGCATGATGATAACCTAATGTTTCAGAAATGTCACTCTAAAGGTCTAAAACTGAAACTGGTCCTCACAAAGATAGAAGTACAAGACCACACACACACACAGTGTGATAATTTGCATCCCCTGTCTAACCCCATGTTAAACTAACTTCATTAATCCAGCCACCAGAAGAGGATTGGCATCATGGAAACAGCAGAGTATCTGCCAACACACACACACACACACACACACACACACACAGCCATGTACAAACAGTCACACAGTCTGTGTTGTCCTCTCTCTCTCTCTCAGTTTCTCCAGCACTAATCTTTCTGACATCCTCCCTCCATATTTTCTCTCTTCTTCTTCGATTTGGGTCCAATCCTCTCTCGCTGGGTCGCGTTTAAAAGGATTTGAGGCAGGATAAAAAGAATTTCACGGAAGCCCTCGAATCAAAACCCCTTTTTGTAAACACAACATAACAAAACAAAAAAAAACAACAGAATGAGAAAAACGATGATGCTACTGTACAGGAAAAATAGAGAATTAAAAACATAGCTACAATATTTCACTGAGACACACATATAAAAAGGTCACACTGAACACAGCTTCATAAACTTGCGTTTAATCTCTCACCCATATTGCTTTGACTGTGGTGCTTATTTGTTTGCTGCAAGTTCTGTATTGCCTTTTAATGTTTCATGATGGGCCATTTTTTGTATGTTTAACCACTTTTGTAACTTAAAAGAAATTGCTTATCATTTTGGGAAATATGTTTTTTGCCTTTTTTTTCAAAAAATTAGACGTTTGATGGAAATCTTAGGTGTGTGTGTGTAGCATAGAGATGGAAGCAGGACAAAGTTAGCCTGCCTAAACACAAGAACTAGAGGCATGGACAATGAGCTAGCTAGGCTCATCACAAATGATAATTTTTACATATATATTTATGTATAGGTTGAACAAACAAGACACAAGAAGCAAATAAGAAGACTGTTGACATCTTTTTTCACTCTGCTTCCAGGCTTTATGCTAAGCTAGGTTAACCACATGAGTGGCTCCAGCGCCGTAGTTAACACACGGACTTAAAACTGGTACTTAACGAACAAATATTTCTTTATTTCATTAATAAATTAATATTTATTGATTAAGTCATTGTTGAGTGTTAGCTATAATTTCTTAGTGTGTTGTTTTTATTACCCTTTTTCTTTTCCTTTTTAACTTATGTGAAGTGTCTTTGAGTTTCTTTAAAAGCGCTCTATAAATTAAATGTATTATTATCATTAATGTGCACATTTTGTGAAATGTTGACTAAGAAAACGGGAATACATCAATTATTACTGTTTCAATATGTAGCTCAAAATGTGGACACCTTAAACAAAGTTCTGGCCATGTACTAATAGTAATAGTACACTCCCTGTAACATGCTTCATTTAACTTTTTGGGGTTGTGTGTATCAAAATTTGGAATCAATGCTGCAATGCTTTAGTAACACATTATATTATGTGCTGATTTTATTAAATTACACTGAGGTTACTTTTGATTATCTGCACAATTAAACCTTCAAAGGCTTAAATGTGTTAAAGTCGGCCTCCAAATTGCTAAAAAGTTTGTGGCTGTTGAGATACCGTTTGTGGCGACTATCATTCAACATAGCACAAGACTAAATTGCTAAGTTGGTAGCATGAATTACTCAGAACCATGCCAGCCATTTTCAGAATAGAGCAACCTGGAACTGGGAGGAATGGATGGTTGGATGTATGGATCCTCACCTCTCCGACCATGCCGTTCCACTCCCCGTCAATGTTCTTTCCATGCCTCCCATTGGTCACCAGGTAAAGGTCATAGGTGAAACCCACAATTTTTGCCAGTCGCTTTAGGACGTCGATGCAGAACCCTTTGCAGCAGTGCTTCATGGGCCCCGCGCCATCCACCACCAAGCTGTAGAGATGATGTGGGAAAAGACATATAGGTGAGATAGTGAACATGCTTTTTAAGATGTTTTATCAAGGACACTTTGACCTGGATGGGCTGCTTGGCTGAGAGTGTGCTGCTAGGGGAGTGAGAAAAGGAACAGATGAGTACCTAGGAGACACAGGGAGAACGTAAGAGGGGAAGAACGGGAGACTGAGGAAGACAAGAAATGTAATTGGCGAGGGACTGGGAGTGGATCAATACTGACAGTTTTGGTTGTTGTGTTTGGAGAGGCATTGCTTGACAGGTCAGAGAGCTCAGCAGGAAAAGTGTTGCATTATTAAAACTAAATTTTTCGCTTTTGGATCTGTCTAAATTAGAAAAATTCTGCGATGGCCTCTGAATGCCTCTTTCCTCTGAGGCTTCATCTAGTGAACACTTCACCCTAAGACCCTCATGAGCAAGTTTCACATATGGGAATCCAAGTACATTTAGATCACTATCAGTCAAGTGGCTGCAGTGTCCTCCATCAGCTGTCCATACCAAGTGCCCATTTGAGGGTCCCTGAGACAGGTAGCTATGACAACCTCTCGGTTCTGTTACCAAGCAACACAACTTGCGCATTTGGAAAATTGTTTCCTCGAATACAAAGTAACGTCAAACTTATGAGAGTGGGACAATTAACACCTCCATACTTATTAAACATTTTTATACAGTTGTAAAAGTATTTTTTCTGCAAATAAAGTGTCTTATTTTCTTAGCAAAATGTAAAATAAAATAAAAAATACTGTTTTTTAGTCACATTCTTCTTATGTATGTGCAAATAAATTCAAATTATTGACATGTTCTTTGACCATTTCCTTACACAGAACTATCCCACATGGTGTACAGCAACACAAGTGACATGACCTTGGTCAGGAGAAAATAAAAGCACTACACAGTTTATCCACTGCACTACAGCTACATCAGAAGAAATAATAACAAGACACAACAACAAATCTAAAGAAGACAAATACATTTGGGGGGAAAAACACTGTCAAAATAGGTTGATTAACACGAGAGCAAACTTCTGTTTCAGCCAATAAAATTGATGGAGGATGAACTTGTTATCTTCCTGTTGGCCAGGTCATGTGCCAAGGAAGGAAGCTTATCTTGGATAGACCAGGAGCCTAGAGCACACACACACACACACACACACACACACACACACACAATCCCGCTCTCTTTTTCTCCCCCTGACTTTTGCCTCAGATGAACTGAAATGAAATTTTACTTAACAACAAGAAAAAATACTTTTCTACTTTTTAACCATTGATGTTCAGATCGCAAACTGATGGTCACTGTCTGAACAGACCAGTTGGTTAACATGTACATGAAGCAGGAGAAAATCATAAAGGATGTCCTGCATATTGTATATATGTACATGAAGCAATACAATTAATCTTCAGTTATATAGAATTCTGCATTGAATCAGTATCATGTTGTTTATATCAGTGAGGATATATACAATGTATGTAAGTACAGTGTGACTCAAACTAGACTGAATCACTCCACATGCGCTGATGCACCAGGGATCTCTTGCTCCATGATTAAAAATCTATTGATGATATATGATTCTATGGATTGATTAAAAGATAATTAACCTTACTTTGCTGTATCATTTCAGGTTTCATTGTTTTAATGATAAGCTGTGAGAAAAACAATGCCCTGTTCTTAACAGCATTCATTTAGGTGGTACCATATGACTTTAATGTATCTATACTGCTGTGAGGAAACTTAATTTCCTCCCTGGGATAATTAGGTTATTGTGTGAAGTTTTAATCTATTGATCCCAGAAGGAAAGTCTTTCTTTAAGCCTATCCCTCCCTGTACACAGCACCTGGAGATGGTAAAGATTTACTGTCTTGTTCATGGATGCTTGGCCCGACATTTCAATTCCACAAGGGATCAGAGCCTGGAAACGTCTGGTTTCAGGATGGTTTCTATTTAACCACTTTTTAAAACTTCTTTGCTACTTTTGAATTAGGTTTTGTAGGCTGATAAGGGTTTAGAGCAGAAACCACTAGGAGACATCAAGGTAAGAGATCTCTTGTTATATACTAAACCAACTCCTGTTGTGTATAAAATTGTTTCAGTCCATTTTCGGAAAGAGAAATGTGACTCTGCACTACACTGTACACTCTGTTTCTCTCTGCTTATGGCCATAATAAACTGCAGGTCATCCTGACCTGCCACTTTCCTTGGTGAGTTACAAAACCATGTTTCAACTCCATTCTCACTTACTTTCATTGCAATATTGTTTTTGTTTTTCTCAATTTTGCCTTTATAATGCTGAATAGTTTTAAACATCCAATCATCCTCTCTCAATGAGTCACATTAAACTACCAGAAAATGGACTGTACACCACTGTGATGATGAAGAAAGTGTGCAGGTGACATTTTGCTTTAATGGCTATAATGGGCAGTTTGGCTGCCATTAAAAGCCACGAAGGTTAAAAACTGTTGCTGTGAAACCTCTATTTTACAGCACCAACAGAGCTATGCTGTGCAAGTCTGCAGAAATGTTTTCTGGTACTAAGAAGAACCTTTGACCATTTACATTTGGAAAGCATGTGTCATAATTTTATTAGTATTAAATAAATATAAATGTACATGCCACACATTTAAAACTGAACTTTGCAGAGTTTGGATACAATTAAAAGCAAATGCACAAGTGAAAGAAATGGTGATGATGTGTTTCCTCCAAACTTGCTGACTGTGTTTCATACTGGAGGCTGTTGTGTGTTACCTGGTGTTCACAGGCATTCGACAGGGTACAGAGTCCCGGATACATGAGCTGGTACCCGGATCGGCCGGTTCCACAATGACAAATGGCCTCTCCTCCAAAGTAACCACTCGGAGGTGCTGGGCATCATCCAGAGGCTTCAGGAAGGAGCCGTAACGAGACCAGGGATGGTAACGAAGACGCAGGTGGCCGTTCTCCCACCAACCAACCTGAATGGGCATAGACACACAAACACAGATGCTCAGGTTTTTATCTGTTGGGCAACAGTGGCTTAGAACACACTGCTGATCAATTTGGCAGTTTTAATTCATGTCAGGAGCATTTGAGTCATTTCATCTGATTAGTTTTGTATTTCAGCCTGGATAATGTCATCTAGTTGGTGTATAGTCTAGTATATCACCTGATATGACAGCTAAGTATTTCTACCTTGCTGTTAACACATCTTAATTACATACAACCTAATAAACGTGTGTATGAAACAGCATCCAAATACATCCAAACTAGCTTTCAAAGTAACAATCTAATTTTAAAGGGACACTCCCTGATTTGTGTCCAAGAATACAAAACCACTGGTCCAATTGTTTTGTCAAAAGAGTTTTGGGGAACTTAGGGCATCCTTTTGTTCCAGTTATTTGAATTGCTGGGTACTTTAGTTGCACCATCCCCCCTCTCTCTCTCTCTGTGTGTTTTGTATTAGATGTCCAAAATCGGCTTCTCCAGTGTGTATCTGGTACATTATACTGCTTCTGTTGATTCCTCACCTAGGATGATAAACTAAACTTCACTAAACTGAAGTTAATGCTGTCAGCTCCCTGTTTTTTGTTTTTTTTTTGTTGTGGGATTTCTATATTCTCACCTCTGTACAGCAAGTCCCAAGGGACACCATTAATACTCAGAGGACAACTGAAAACTCTGATCACATCCTTGTAAGCTGTTTCATATGAGGCACCTCAGCCCATCTATTAACTTTATGGTATATTATCACTCTGTATCTTCTGTTAGGTCAAGCTTCTAGTCGTATACTTATTTTACCATTCCTCTACAGCTGAGCTTAATTTCTTTTGGAATAGAGACTGAGACTAAAGGTAAGACAGTTTACAGTGACAGAGTGACCTACATGTGTAAACAAATCTGTTCACATCAATTGAGGGTGTTACCTGTATGGCTGTTCTGCCACAACACAGCAAGTCTGTCAGGTATTTTGTTCTTTTCTAGCTGTGGTATCAAGATCTTATTTGCATACAAGCATTTCTCTTGTTGATCTTGCTAATGGTGACGTGGCTGCGGGGATTTGTGAAGAGCTTACCGAACCCTTAACCATCATTGCTACATGCCTATGCCCAACCGTTCCAATTCTAATCTTCTCTCTAAAACCTGGACCTAAAGCAAATTAAATGTGAGCCTTTAAGAAGTGTGTCCCAACAATGTGGCTTTGTGAATAGACATGTTTTTACAAACATGCATGCATTTTTACTTACATACTTGTGAAGACTCTCATTGACATAGTATACATAGACAATCCTAACCGTTACCCTGAACTGGATCCTTATTCAAACCTTATCTCTAAAACCAAGTCTTAAAGCTAAAGTCAACAGCCTTATAGGGACCAGGACTGGGTTGCACCAACTATTAGTAAAATTCCTTATTAAGTTTGAGTGTGAATTTATTAATAGTTTCTTCCTAACTAGTTACAAACAAGTGATACAGAAATAATTTGAACCACTCAAAATTCAGAAATGTCGTAGCTAGTTAAAATGTTAATATTGTGAAAAATTTGTGCTGGCAAAATAAATCATTCTACACACGAAGTCACTGTAGCACTGGTAGCAGTATCATCCAAATGTAACAAGGCCAAGAGCTACATTAAATTTACAATCTTTTGCAAGTGAATGCATTACTTTGTTTAATTTAGGCTATATAGGCATACATGCAGAAATACGTGAATTTGAGAACAGGCAATATTAATTTCAGTGGGAGAGAACAACTTAACCAACCTTAATTGGTCAATTGTCTTATGTTATTGGCATTAGATTTTGTAATTTTCCTATTTTGGTCAAATCCAATTTAAATGAGTGAACCATCTTCTGATGCTAAGCTAGGGCAGATAATCAGTGATGTTTTCTGGGGTCATCAGGTGTTTCGGGTTCTTGTGAACATCATACACACTCGCTTGGGGCGACCCAGCTTGGGTTAGTCAGACCTTAGCTTCTGCCCAAGCAAATCTCTATGTAGTAAACACTTAAGTTATCACTAGGATACGTTTGAACTTACAGACAGCTGGTGCAACTGGACCCAGCTTCTTGTCCCCAGATAGGAGGTCAGTCCCCATAATGTACTGTGGAAAATGATGTCCCCACAATGTGATGAATACAAGTACCACACAAGTACACAAAACTACAGGTGCAAGCATAATACCCTACAGGTTACCAGCAGAAATGCATACACACACAGGGACACATACAAACAAGTCATGAGAATGCATAATCTCACACAAAAACTAAAAGACACAACCAGGCACAAAAATACAAATAGGTGCACCGACACACACTCACATTGTTATTCATGATTATTCATTTTAGTTTTTAACACATTAGCACAAGGACCTGAGATACAAACAAGAGACCGATGAAGCACCTGGCACTTTGGACCAACCTCACTCACTGTATCTTTTATGCACTTTCTATCTCTCTATTTTTTACTGTGCTCCTGCTCTTTTCTTTTGCTCTTTCCGCTGCATAAATAATAGCCAGAACCAACAGTTCATTATGGAACATGATAATTTGCTTGTCTATGCTCATTTGTCCTCCAGTTCACCCCTCTTACATGTTTTGCATTAACTGAAGTAAATGCGTTCTGCCGCTCTTTAAACACAAAAAAATACATTTATATGTGCACGCACACACGCACAACCTAGACATGGGCTGAATCCCTGGATTTCCAGCCCAGCAGAAGGCAGGGCTGGAGCATGAGTTGGTATTTTGTGATAACCATGAATGGACCTTGGGATATTTATGAAAATGTTATGAGACTCAATGACAACAGTAAAATTTAATCCAACTTTTAAAATAATCAAAGCAAAATCACATATTACAAACAGCAAAAAAAATGTGTATTGGCTGCCTTGCCAAAAATGTTGCAGTTAAATAAAGATAAACAGGACATACACAGAGTCATTTTGAAATAATGGAGTCCCATGATTAATTATAGTCTCTTTGTGTCTATCTTTGACATTTCCATTAAATCAATAATTTGAGGTGCACTGCTCAGAGGACTTGATAGTTTGGGGTGCACTATTTTGAGGAATTAATAACTAAATAAGGAATTATCACTTATTTAGTTTGTACTTATTTTATGGTGCTAAACTGCACGGTGCGTATTGTTGTATATTGTATATACTGTACCTACGTTTAACTGCAATTTTTGTTGCACTTTGTCAATATATATGTTTTTTTGTTTTTTTTAAATTAACACCCATGCATTGGCTTGAATAACTTTTGCAGTCATTGCTCCCAAAATGCTCTGTGGGATTAATAATCTGATGTGCTACCTTCCCCCTGTCAATATTGTTTTTTAAATTAACACTCTTGCATTGACTTGAAGAACTTTTGCAGTCATTGCTCCCAAAATGTTCTGTGGGATCAATAATCTGATCTGCTACCTTCCTCCTGTCAATAATTTGACATAAATTATCCCAAACCAACCAATAGCTGCTTTACAGAAACCATAACTCAAAGAGGCGCTTTCATTTTCTGTATATTTCTTTGTCTGTTCAGCCACAGTGGCTGTGATGGCTCATTGTTAAGCCTTTCTGTTTATTACAAACAAATCTCTGCTTCTGCTGCAAAGGTAAAACTCACTATCTGAGCACCAGAGGACCTTTTCATACAAAGAGCAAGCACTCAGTGATGAGAATAGAAATTCTAAAAACTATTTTATCCTAGGAGCAGGCTGAATCACTATCACAATGGTCTTAGAATGCAGCAAAACACATTCATTCAAAACCAAATGTTGATACATACTTCAATGTGAATAAGTTTGGCACTGTTAGGGTTGTTAGATTTGTTTTTGTTAATTGCAAAGTATACATTTTCACAGTATATAATGTTTTGAGAAGGGAATGTCACCAATTTACATTGAAAACATTTAAATAATCTGATCATTATAATTATATGTCCATTATTATAGCTATATTATTGGTGCTATGCATCCCTGTTTTTCTGTCTCTGTCTCCCTTTCTCTAAATCTATATTTGATTGTTGTTGGTTTAAAGTTAAATTAATTTCATTATATGGAAAGTATTGAGCTGTGGCATTGTGATTTAGACTGATTCACATGCACCATCACCATCATATTGCATATTTGGCTGATTCGTTGTGCTAATTATTTTCCTTCTTTCACTTTGTAACCTTCAGTATCGAATATAAAGTTTTATTACTTTTGTAAATTCTCATTATTATTATTGTCTTTTGCTGTCTGGACTTTCTGTTTGCTTCTGTACTTTGCAGTTGTGTCATTTTTTTTATTTTGGTCAGACTTGCACTGTTCTGGCTTCTGTTCTGTTTCACAAGTTAAGATAAGATTCTTTATGTACCCACACTAACAACTAATATTTGACCTTGTTGTTTTTCTGAACTCCAACTCTGAAATGTCAGTGGGAAAAGTATTGGGTTTTGCAGCCATGAAATTCAACAGAAAGTTTGAAAACAGCTAGTCCTCACCTATAATAATTACTGTGGGACAGGCAGCCATTTAATGAACAGTGAAGTGTCAAGGGCGTGTGTTCATCCATGTGACTCCTTCCAGTAGTGAATTCACTACTACTTTTAGGTGATTTCCGAGACTATTTTCACTCTGCTAGCCCATTCTGTGAGTCCAAAACAGCTGTAGTAAATTGTAGTAAACAATTGAAGTACAAAATTGGCAAAATAGCTTATGAACTCCAGCTGTAGAAATAGAATATCTCTAAAGGCATGTTAAATAATGGTCTCAACTGAATTGGAAGAAATACATTTTGATTGATGGTTTGATTGAATTGATTTAATAAGATATGCTAATACGATTGACTTCAAAATGTTTGTTGTGTCTCACGCCAATCTATATGTCCATTACTCAAGTCAACCAGACTCAGCCAAGGTCTGACTCAAATAATAGCTTTTGTATTTTTAATACCTAATAAATATGAAAACCCGAGTTTTCATATTGGATGTGG